CCTCTTATAGACAATTTGTCGGAGAAGTAATTTCTCCCTGAATTAATTAATTGTCGCAGAATTAACACAATGTACAGATGGTGGGATATGTAAATGTTGCATTAGAGTCAATACATTTGGAAAAAAGAAAAAAGGAATTTCTAAAGAAATTCATGATATCCCATGAAACAAACTTACGAAAAAACAAATGCAAACTTCGAAATTGTAAAATACAAGAGGATCAGACAGTAGAGGTTTTTAATGAGAAGTGGATCCTATCAGAAATTCATGCGGCTTGGCAGTTTATTTGTTATTCTATTAAACAGCGATAGTAACTGAAACTATAGTCTAATCAGGATTTTTGTCGAGAGTAAAGCTCATTGTAGATACGAACTATTGTTTTCAGCTAATTTGTATTTGACGAAAAACATTTCAGATTTCCACTAACAAGAACAGGCATATTTTGAAAAAAAAATAGTCGAATGTTTCTTGAGTGATCTACGATAAAATCACTCAGTGTTTTGTAGAAATTTACTAGCCAGAGCTTTCCCAACTTTTCCTTGGTTCATAAGATTGAAAATTTCTTAACATAGCAACCAATATGAAATTTTTGCCGCACGGTCAACTCAACCATGTTTTGCGTTAAAAGGTTCAGTGGTTTTTTATTATTTAAGTTCTGTATTTTATATTTCGGCACTCTCTAAACATTATGATTAAATTTTCGTGTAATCCATATTTTCTTATTTCGAATATCGTTAGATCATAGGGTTCCAATTAGTGTTACCAATAAGATTGCTAGTTTTAGTATAATTCTCCTATAAATTGAATTACATATGTAACGCTGTTGACTAGTAATATTATCATGGCGACTAATTTTCCTAGTGTCCGGCTGGCAGTAAAACGATATACAAATACATTGTCGCCGCTAAAAAGTGGAAAATTTTCCATTATATCGACAATACACACACATCTTCTGAAATCTATGTATCTTCTTCGCTCTTCGACTAACATTACTTGCATAGTATAAGCCTAGCTGTTGCTACTATAGGTGTCTTACTTAATTCCTCTCTCAATGTATCGATACAGTCAAATCACGAATTTACTGTACGATACGTATTAACGACAAAAAGAGTACCATTATATCCTCAACATAATGTACTCAATTTCTTATGCATTATATAGCGTCCACTCGTATTCTCTGTGTTTAATTCCTTCGAAAACATGCACCAGGCACTTCTCAGAGAAAAACTTCAGACCGTGCTAAATTCCACAACACTGCAAAGCAGACCGAGTATGATCATGGAGGACATAATATCAAGGTATTCGACGTTTTAGTGTCCTTTTAGCTTCGAAGGGTGTCATTCTATCATCATCACGATTTTGTGAAACCTTCTCAGCACAGAGACATGGTTATAAAAGACATACATAAGAAGGCAAGCTTCCAGCTATTTTCATGATATTTTGTAGCTTCAGAGTTGCTGAACAATGTATATTGAAACGTTTTTATTCAGACTTTGTCGCTCGTTACAGTTCGTTCGGTGCGAGAAATGCATGGACGTCAAAGAAATCACCTTTTAGGAGCATTTTGATGAAACTAAAAAATGTCATATTTATCTCATGTGAAGATTCGTCATTTTTCGTGAGAAGATAGAGTTCAATGAGTTGAATAGCTCGTCTAAGACGAGTAGTAGTCAATCTTTGATTGTAAAGATGCTATAAGGTTTGCTAGTTTCTCTCTAGCTAACATAGCTGGGGTGATTCGAATTAGCCCATTTAGTTTGCATTGGTGATCCAAATTACCCCAAGTTGGTTTCCTCGGAAAAATGGTGTTTTCAACGGCTGACATCGTGATAATCACTATACTTCTGTAACTCATCAGTTCGACTTGATATTCTCAGGTCCCATAGAAGAGAACATGCGCTATCTAACGGTACCATTTTTTAGGTTAAAAGCATGAGAAAAAATTGCATTATGGGTTGGGGAAATAAGTTATTGTCATTTCTACTGGAATGATCCGAATTACACCAGGTAGTTTATATAAGTGATCCAAATTGTCCAAACTAGGATAATTCGGATCACCTTTAGCATCTCTTTAATATTTCGATCAATACTTTTTTCTGGTAAGTGCTATCGAGGAGATCGTTCCGCCAGTTGATAGAGCATGTTCTGTTCTAGTCGCGATACAAAACTCCGCTCTCTATCACAACTAACAGTGAAGAACGAATCAAAACATTTTCAATCACTGCCATTTTGATCCGAATTACCCCCAACTGACTCTACATCTATTTTTGTTCCAAAGGAGTCAATGAATATTCCAAGAGCATAAAAATTTTGATTCTGGTTCGTAGGTTTTTACTCGTCTGAAATATTTTGGGACAGACCAAAAAAGAACAAATGTTGTTTTCAGTACTCGCAATTCAACTCTTTTGTATAAACATTTTTTGAGACTCTTGAAAGATTTGCTCATCACACTATAACAAAATTTCATATAAAACTTTCTGGTCCCACATTCTTAAAGAGCAATGCACGCCGAAGTTTTCTAATTACATTTGACTCCGATCAACTGCTTTTAAGTGACTGAAAAATAGGAAAAAGATTTTGTGCGAACACTTTCTTGACATAGATTGATCGACGTAGACTTTGACGCTGAGTCGAATGGTGATATTTTCAGGGGAAAACGACGAGAAAAAGTTTTCTTTGATCTTTACTTGTCTTCTATGTATGTATGTGCATGATTATACCACTTTCACACGCAATTTCTCTGTCCAGAATGAATTTCCCTCCATGGAAAAGAATCTGTTTGGCGCAGAATTTAACTCTGCATCTAACAGTGCCACTTTTATTCACAGGAAAACGATCCAGACGCAGCTTACCTCGGTTCTTATTTTTCTTCTATAGCTACATACATGAAAGAAAATTTTGGAGCAAATTATTTCATTCGTTTTCCCGTGAATAAAAATATCAGGATTCGACTCAATGTCAAATTTTACATAGAATAGGTTCTTTTTTATCGACAGGAATTCATTTTCAGAAAACTAGTAGTTTTGTGGTGCTACCTTCATGATGCTAGCTTCACACTGATATATTTTTCACACAAAAAAATTGACCCAAATTGCTCGAACTGAATGTAATGTGTTGAAACGTAATTAGATAGACAAGTGCGCTTCGACACAGCTATCCTGAGTCTGATGTTTGCGTGGGAAAGCTTTTAAAAAAATAAAAATCATATACAACAATTACTTTCTGAAACTTCTATTTTCGAGAAAAGAAAGGGAGTCAAAGGAATAAAGCATATTATGTAAGAATAAATTATCATCGCCTCTAATTTTAGTGTTTCTCGAGTTATTCACTAGTTTCACAATATTTTAGCACCAGCATCATTTGCACAAACTCGAATTCTACTCGATCAACAAAGTCGCTCTCATTTTGGTCAACCTCTCATACCGACTC